GTACAAAATGTGAGTAACCAAATAAAATTGTGTTGTTAAATAAAAAATTATACCAAATTTTGCTTATTAATTATATATTTTGCTATTTTAACAAAATTTTAGAATAAAACTTGACTTTTGTGAATAATTCTCTGTTTTTGTTACCATTAGTATATCTTTTCTCTCAGTGTAGTTTTCGCAAGGCGATAACTGTCGAATGCAAAATTATTTTTTACCAAATAATACCAGTATGCGCGTATATGTTTAAACAAAGAAATATAAAAATATAAATGTATTTCCGCGAGGTAGAATTTTTATCGCGCGACCAGGCGTGGTCCAGTCGAGACGCACTAAGTGAGTCACGGCCAAGGTTGCGCGATCCACACCTTGCTCGTTACGATCTCTTGCGGATTCGAGCGTGCCCCGCGTGTACACGCACGATGCACTTTTATTTCGCGAATTCCCATTCAAAAAAGACCAAGAGCACTCGTGTGTCGGACTCGTTGTCGTATCAGCGCGGCGTATTATGGGCAGGTGTTCAGCAAGACGAACGGGTTGACTCTTAAGCAGATCGCACACGCACCTGCCTTGGGGATTTGGTAAGATTGCGAATTAGTACACGTCGCCAGACGCACGGAGAGAGGAGGACAAGGGGGGAAAAGTGATGAATATTCACGAGACGCGGGTATAATCTTGTATGTCACACAAATGCGCTGCTTAATCGGACACGATTCGAACTCGAGCGCGATCCGCGATCCGTCGTAACACGCGCATAACAATGTCCTCGCTTAACACAGCTGCGAGATATACGGCGAGGGCGACCGGGGCGTTCGCGGGGGTGAATCGGTAAATCGAGGTAAACCTGACGATGACGTTATGTTAATGAGATTGACACATTTAAATCCAAATGTGGGTTAAGCAGCAGCGAGACGGCAATGAAAGAGACACGGGGGATTGGAAAGGAGAAACTTCGCCGACCCGCGAAGAATATTTAATCTATAACGGATAGCCTTTTTTTTTAATACATTCTCCTTACCGCATTTATGCAAACACTTCATTAGCGGAGTTACTACTCTCTTGCGGCGCAAAAAGAAACTCATGAGAACAGAATTCGAGAGACGCGATGTAGCACGCGGATGAGGTACATAATATACCTATCGGTGTGGTCGTTGGTGCCGAGATCGAGCTATGATCCAGACGATCGAGGTACACGCGCGAAATAGTAACGCGCGGGGTGGAGAGGTGGGAAGGGACAGGGATAAAAGAAGATTTATTCGTTTGGGACAGTTAGGTATGCCCCGGTAAGAAAAGGTACATGAGGCCGGTACATGAGCCGCACGATTACAGTTACTCGCGGGAACCGGCGAGTGTGCGCTTGCACACGGCCGCGGCGGAGCCTAGTCAAACGGTATCTCCTCCGTTTTTTGTCAAAAATTCAATCGCGGCAACGCGAACCGCCCGAGCTCTACTCGAGATTCACGTGTCACGTCGAGCCACTAATCTTCCGTCGCTTTATCAAATACACGTGATATTCTCAAACGACAGGCACTCGCGAGATAACGCGCGAATCGGGAATGCGATGCGCCGCGATGCAATGAGATTTCGATTATCGGACGGACAATCGTGATACTCGCTGTCGTTTCGCGGGGAAATGATCGACTCGATATACTTATACGAGAAACAAGTTGATTCATGTACGATGATAAGCGGGGTAGCCGTAATTCAACGTAGCGTATCAAAACTTATTTTTCACACGATCTCCGCGGAACGTGTTAGAAAATGCGTGTACATTAACGTGGCGAAATCTTATTCTCGGAGGCATTTAGTATCGATTACTTCTCGGAGGGAAAGGAGATAAATCGAAATAGCATACGGAGAGAGAATATTGCCGTGATATTATTCGCTAACGTAGAACCGAGATCGCTTTGAACCAAAATTCTTACGCTGCTCTCGAATCGGAATGTCTTTATGGCGAGGGAAAGATGCTCGCGCTCGAGTAGTTGAAGTAAGTGACGCCTTAAACCGGTGCGAAATGGTGGAAAACGAGAGATCGAAAGAGGAGTAGGAATGACTTGTCGAAGGGAAATGAAAGTAAGGAGAGGGTGGCGGTGAGGTGCACTCTGTCTCTCTTTTTCGCGCGTCGTATCTGGTGCGTGACAGCTGCCGCCGGTCTTGCTCAATCGGGGAAATATCAAGTTTCGTCTATAAGCGGGGAAGGCATTTCGAGATATAAACCGCACTTATGAGATTCGAGTTGAGAAGAGGGAGAGGAAGAAAGAAAGAGAGAGAAAGATCCGAAAACTTGGTACGACAGAACTGATAAAAGTGCAAAAAGGCGCCACTGATTTTTCGAGTAGGACCACTTCAAAATTGGAAAAAGTCGAAAAAATAAATTGCATGTCGAACTCAAATTCCAGTTTCGACAAGATAAAGATACGATTCCATAAATAACTTAATAAAGATATTGCTATAAATAAAGATTGCAATTTGTGAATATATTTCGTACATTCTCATAATTTGGAGTTCAAAAACAATAAACCAATCGATGACAAGTGCGTGCAATACATATTATGTAATAATAATAAAATCAAATGTAATCGGAAGAGCTAGTTTAATTATATATATATATATATATATACATACGCGGATAAAATCTTAAACACATAAACACAAACACGAAATCATCTGTGTTGCTCATCTATCCTCTGCTCCGTAATGTTAACGCACTTTGTACGCGCTAATCCGCCAACGCGCAGTGTGCAATTAATCACGAGCGTACCAGCTTTCCGTTTATAACGTATCTTACGTAACGCCGCGATTATCGGCCATCAAGCCGATACGCGCGCTTGAGCGGTCATTGAAGCGATGCAATGATCCTGTGAAGAGGAGGCGCACGGTGCGCTGATTCTCGCGTTCATGAATTATAACTTCGTACGAGCAGGAAATCGATCGTTATCGAAGGTAGGTCATTCTCGGGCCTACGCGAGAGGCATAGGCATTTCGCCTAGGTCATGCCCAGAATAGTCAACCCCGGACGTCGTAAAAGCGACACTTGACGCACTCGCGTGCCACGTGAAGTTCAGTTTACGAGCACTCTTTTGTCGGGTGCCAAATAATTCCTTGGGGACGCAGCAAAGAACGCATCGACAGGAACGGGGAAATTAAGTAAAAGGACTATAAAAAATGCACGCTCGGTTGCACTAATCCGCTAATTGCTAATGTAATGCACTAATCGTAATAAATTTTCTAAATGCAAATTGCAATGTCGCTTATAATAACGATAATTTACACTGTTTTAACGATATTTGTCATTATTTGAAATTAAAACAATATATCGATAACAATATATTAATATCATTGTTACTGACACATATTAATATCATTGTTAATTCCACTCTTAATATTTCGGCAAATATTATATATCAGTGTTATGAAACGCTATATTCTACTGAAATAATTTGACGATTGAATAACCGATTTATTATTATTATAATTATTTTGCACGTACATTTTTAATAATAAAGACGTCGCTAAATATAGCTAACGCGATGGAAGAAGGTGATACGTCGTCGCTTTCGATGAAATGATTAAGATTAATGATTCGTTGGCGCGTGCAACCTCCGCCAGATGAATCGTCTCGGCGAGATAAGGCTTCGGAATACCTTGCGACTTTTACGAGCAAACGCGTGATTCAGCACGCGCCCCATTGTAAGCCGTTCGCGTATAATCCATACGAACGAGATCATTGAGAAGTGGTCGATAATTGAGCGAGTGACTCACCGCAAAGCGATTCGAGAATGTCAATAATCAAGCGAAGCGCGAGCGGCGAGAGAGCGTGGCATTTAACGTGTCGATATTGAATTTGCCTCGCACGCGGGAAAAATGATTATACGCGTGAAACGATCGAAGTAGCGTAATCGAGAAATCTCGCAGGCATGCTCGGTGATAGGCGCGCTTGTGTGTAATTATTCAAGCCGGAAATTCGTGTCAATAGTACGGTTTTCTCGAGCAAAATGCTCGTTAATGCGACGGGAACGTGTGCTAATAAGGTATTAATGTATATGCTTCATAATGAAAAATTGTCGTTGCAAAACCTCCGAACGCAAATACGATCGTATAACGCCCGGACTGAAATCGAGATAATCACCTGCGCAAACAATTGACCCTAATAAAGCTGACATGATTTTAAGATAATATGCACACAAGACCCATATGGCACGAACAGGGGCTCAACGTCAAATAAACTTCTGATTCAAATAACATTCTGATCATTAATATTAAACCGAACGATATATAAAAAAAGAATAATTAAAAATACTTGAGCTCTCAAAGTATCTCTTGACAGATACTTGTTTTCATACAGAAATTAAATTTTCCAATATTTCGATTTAAAAGATAATTCCACGAACGATAAGGGCAGTTATTGAGAACTTACTTGCTCCTTGTCCTTTTCGGTAGCCTCATCCTTATCCTTGTCTTTATCCTCGGCGGAATCCGTGTGCGGTGCTATGCCGTTAGTGGTGGGCTTCGTGTCGGCCTCCTCGATCCTCTCCAGCTTACCGTCGCCAGGTGCAGCCGCGTCGCCAACGACGCCTCCCTCGGCGGGTATTCCCTCCTTCTTCGGCGTCGTCGTTATGTCCACGGACCTCTTGCTCTGTCTCGCTCCCATGGTTGCTTCTTACCTTGTCGTGCCACCTGTCTTTGTCTCACTCGCTTTCTGGGTACCAGGTGGTGTCCAGGCTAAACCGTCCTGCAATCAGAGCGAGAGAATCGAGATTAAGATACTTTGCCAAGAGACACGCGGACGAGAGGTAAAATTAAACGCGATTTAGAACGTACTACGAAATAATAAGAGCGAAAGGAGTCGAGAGAGAGAGACCGAGAGCGAAGGAGCTTGGCAAATCCGCGCGTTTCGTTCGGGTTCTGCAATTTGACGCAGTTACACGCGTCGATCTGCACAGCCGCGGTTTCGCCGCGGATAAGTTCATCCGTCTCGCGATACGCTGGAGGAGCGGGAGTAACTTTCACCGTAGCCGCAGAGATACGTACATCAGAGATTCTCTCGAGCGAACTCACGCCGCCGTCGACGAACGGGGATCTGGTTATGCGGACAAGCGAGTCCGAAATGCAGCGGTCTCGAGATTCGAGAGAACGACGTAACTTGCATTTATGTACCTGCGTCCGATTAATCCGATAAGCAAGATTTATGCTTATCGATACACGCACAGCCGCGCCCTTCGTAATTAATAGCGACTTTCGCGCAGGTGTTTCTCTCTCCGTCGTGATTCTTTTTTTATCTCTCATCGAAAAATTCCTCCGTAAAAATTCATTCGTATCGTACACGCCAGCGTAAGAGCGGCTGAACGATAATGAGCCGTACGAAAGATACAGTTTAGAAAACAAAGAACAACGCGGCATAACGGAAAAGCTCTTCCATCGGAAAACAACTAGGCATTGTTCTATACTCAAGGATTCATTTGTACTTGTTTCCGTTATGTGTATTTGACTAAAACGCGAAAAAAAAAGAGCATTGGAAAAACCCAGTAAACGCGTGAAAGCACTTTTGTCAACAGTATCAAAGCTATCATTTATAACAAAAGCGTTATGTACATGCAACGGTTACGTCACAAATAACTGTACATACAATATCGTCGTTCAAAGTAAATATCCGACATCGATTTCGAGCTATTATTCGCGACGTTTTTCCAATTCGTAACACCGAACTGTCGCGAAGATGTCAAGTCCGGGACGCACGCCACCGACGAAAAAGCACATAGATCGCTCTTATATATTGTATTACCTGTGGCACTCGGAAAAGAAACAGAAATAACACGTCGTCGTCACACGATTCTAATTATCCTCGGAAGGAGAGAAAAACAGCTGGTTGAAGGTCCGTCGGGGAGCACAAGCGAGGATAGAGTAACGGTAACGCGGCGATGATGAGTTCGCTGGTAACGAAAGCGGAAACGCGCGCCGCACCGAGGGAACGGCTGCGAAAAACTGGCACGGCGTGGCGAAGCGCGCTAAAAGCCAGGCCTCACCTAGACCGCTCGTTTGTTGTGCGCGCGTTAACGCGCATTTAAACGACCACGTGGCTCGCTCGCGCACGCACGCACGCACGTACGCGCGTATCGCCGTCGTATGCATGCGCGCGCGAGCAGCTGACGGCCGCGATGCGTAACGTATATCTGTGGTCGCGACGAACTTACGCGAGGTCATCCTTTGTGTGCCAATCGACGAGAAAACTCAAGGGAGGAAAAAATGAAAACAATATGAACCGTCGAGATATTTTACAGCGAAAAAAGTGTAGACGTACAATGTGAATGAATTGCGCATATGGAAAAACTTTGTTTACGATTTCTTTGATTTTCTTTGAAAGATCAAGGGTAAATCTTTCTATGATGAAAATATATCTTATCAGATATTAACTCTCTTATTTAAAATTGTAAAAATTAAAAATAATCTTATTTAAGCCAATTTATTTTATTACTAATTTTTCTCCTTTTTAAATATCAATTATCAATTGTAATATTTAACATATTGTTATAAAAGATGTTATAATTTTCTTTTTAAATGTTTTTCTTGTTCTTGTCGCAATAAATTATAAGATATGTCCAATCTTACATATTATGTAAAACAGAAATGCTTGTAAGATAAATATAACAGCGATAGATAAAGAGTAAACAAGTTAATGCACTATCAACACTACTACGTTTTTATTTCAGTTTAAAGTACGCAGTTTTCTAGAATTCTTGCCTCGTGACTGTCTAATGATCTTTTAAAGTTTTAAACGGTTCTCCTCGACATTTCACATTAATGTTTACAAAATCGATAGTCTGTGCTCGAAAAGTCAATAACGCCTATCAGCATAAAGTATAAACAGTTCAAACGTTTAAACATATCTATCGTGGCATTTCATCGTTATCATATATTTATTTATATTATCTATTTTCATTTTCAGATAAATTTATCGGCGATTTCTGAATTTCGACTAGGTATATATACGCGGGAATCCTGTGAATGCGGTGACAAATGGCTGAATTTCCACTAAATTTTTGGCGCACATTTTCCGGATCCTCGCCGTGAAAAAAAAGTCCCATTAACGAGGCGATTTTCATCGCGCGGCACGAGACGGAATTGGCTTTCTGCTTTCTAGCGACGATCCGTTTCCCGAACGAATTCGCCCCGGCGCATTCCTCGCGCTAACACACGTCGCAGTTAAGTTACGCCGGACGAATGAAAGTCAGTGAACGAACGAGTTGCATTTAACGCTAATTGAGCGACGAGAATACGGAATGTAAGTTGATTCCCCCTGCGCGATTGGATTTCGCGTTTCGCGAAAACAACAAACTGTACGCGTCAATGCGAAAGTCGGGAGCTGCGTGACGCGCCGGCCATAGCTATATCACTGTCACCGCATAACGCCATTTGTTTCAAGGTATCCTATTCACGGTGCATTGCACCTCGGCGCGTAAGTGTGCGCACTATGTATCGGCTGGCACACTTACACACACGTCTAGCTGTGTCGCGGGTGTGACGGATCCCGAGACGGAAACACGATGACACAATATTGTCACGACCACGGGAATACCTCGCCAACTTCGCACATGTAATTTTTGACACATTCCGTCACCACTCCGTGGTAACACAAACACACAACAAAGTTTAGCAAAACAGTCGAAAGATAGCCGGACGTTTGTTCTATCGATAAGCACAAGTGTACTTCTACAAAGATATTATAAGTAATAGATAACGATCTCTCGAAATGAGATCCTCTTCACGGAATAGGGCAACGTAAGAGCCGTTATTACGGTTTGTCTTCGCCTCCGGAAATAATGGGACACAATGCCGCCCCTATATGGACCAACGCGAATGGGCTACGTTTCCCCCTCGGCACAGCTAAATTTTCGGAACCAATTGCAGTAAGCTCCGCACAAAAGCGCGCCGCGCAGCCGGGAGGGAGAGACGATAGCTGCGCCCGTTCCGCATCGTTTCATCTTTATTTCTTCCTTGAATTGCCGAATTGGTAGAATAATTTGTGTAACTTTACCGAGAACAAATGAGGACATCGACTCGCGATCGACTACGCGCCTCGCCTCCCTTCGCGATCAATTTATTCGCGCGTGCGTGCAACCCCCTCCGAGAATTGCACGCGCGTTTCACGCGAGGATTCCTGAAAGATCCCACATGCCGGAAGAATCATCGTCGAAGCATTCGTAAAAATAGAAAAACAAAAAGACATAATTAGTCTGCTATATTAGGCAGCTGCAGGAAGAGTTTCGACAAATATTTATGTTATCCTACATCGTGTGCTCGTGTGCACCACGTGCGTCACGGCGAGGCCGCGTCGTTACGGTAAGAAATAGCTCTCTCGATCGCGCACCCGAGAAACACCCACAGAAGATGATTACACATGGTGATTTATATAAGGGAAGAGAACGTGGGAAATAGAAAATCGTCTCTCCGGGAAAATAATTATATTTTACTATGCGCGGCAGCGGCCGTGCGCCCCTTCTCTCTCTCTTTCTTTCTCTCCGCTTCGCGTCGTCGTCGCGGTTGATCATAATTCGATGCGTGAATTTCCGGTGGTGGAGGAAGGTCACGGAGGCGTATCGCGGACGCGCGTCGCTATATTTAGAGACGGTGGTGACATCGCCAGAGCCCCGGCATCGCGAGATAAACCGTCGGCGTCGCCGCGGCGCAGCGCACCGAATAAACGTCGCGACTCTGGAAAAACATGATGATCGCTCTCGCTGTTTGCGCGCGTTGGAAGAACGAACGCGCGCGTGCACTCGCTGAACGCGTTTCTCTCGGCGCGCCGCGGCTCGAAGATTCCCCCGCGATAAAAATAGTCCCGGCGGAGAAAGGAAATTCATCACCGTGCGAAGAGAGAAAAAGAGAGAGAGCTATATGTTCTTCCGCGCTAATCCATGCAACAGAGCATGTACACATGCTCTCCTACGTTGCTATTTATTTTCCCTGTGTTTCAACTCTCTCTCTCTCTCTCTCTCTCTCTCTCTCTCTCTCTCTCTCTCTCTCTCTCTCTCTCTCTGCCGCGCTTTGTCTCTCGTATTAACAATCTCTGCGCATAGTCCTATCATCGCGGCGACCATTTATATCATCCCCGGAGAGGAGCGACCGCGCAAGAACTGGTAATGCGAGATGTCTTGCGTAAGAGTAACGATAATTGAACGGATATTTTTTTCACATTTTAAGACTTCGCCGCGCAGCATCACTTAGCTCAGTAAATTGCGAGCTATGCAATTATTATTGGGCCGCGCATTCTTCCAAGCATAGTTGCATTAAAGCAGTAAAGTAATTTTCCAAACTACAGCAGACATTCCGGCTGCTTATTCATTCACGGCGACACGACGATTGTAACGTTGTATAACGACGAATATTTTCGTCGCTCGGAACACGACATTATATTCTCGGCCAAATTAAGATTTTGTAATAGAACATTTATAAAATCATTTTCTCGCTCGCTGAGTGACAATGAAATATGTGCAAAAAGCATAAAATGAAAAATATACCGACAAGCTTGACAAAATTTATCAAATCAAATCCGACGACAGTGTCGCAACAATTCTTTTCTCGATGCGTTTCTCTCCTCAAATAAATAGTTTCGCGGCACGCGCGTTGCAAAATAGCGTTGCGCCGCGACTTCGAGGCCGCGGAGATGGAAATGCGCACGCGAGAAGGCGTGTTGAATATGCACAGAGAGTCGTTGCGGTCGCCAGCGCGATACAAGATAGATTCCCGCGATCTCGTCGCGTTCTGCGAAAGGTAAAAAAGATATGCAAAGAAAAAAAAACAGGAAAAGCGATTGCGAAGTGAAGCCTACGAAGCGACGAAACGGCCTCCCACTTTTCCTCGTATTATCCGTTCGGAGCGGCCGGAGCGGAGGTACATGTATAATGAGCACCGTGATTTCTTTCGGCCGTATCGCTCAATTGATTAATAAGCGCATTCAGAGGTCGATGCCGTCTATTAAGGCGTTAACAACGATATAACGACCGCGCCGTCGGGCCGCCAACTTGTGTGTGAGAGAATTCCTTCGCCGGCGATAACGCGAACGATAAGCGAATGCACCGAGAAGAAAACGAACGGAACAAGTTATTATGGGGGACTGTAATGAAACAACGACGACAAGAAGCGGCCGGAAAATTGGATACCTGGCGGCGACTTCAAGGTTGCGCAGGTGCATAAATAGACATCGATGACTCGCGTATTCGTGCGCGGAGTTTTATATCGGTTCGCTCTTTTCTCTTCGGCTTCTACGAATTCTCGTGCGCTTCAAGAATACTTTTCTCGCCTCTCGCTTTCATTATGCCTTTAAAGATACAAGGACTCGGACTCGATTTCGCTAATCGCGGTCGACCAAATTGTTTGTTATTGTTCGTTAAACAAAAGCTTTGAGCCTGTGCCAAAATATTGCAGTTGAAATGTATTGATGTCGCAAGTTCGCACGTGTCGCTATTCGTCATATTATTCGTCAGTCGTGTTAATACTGTCGATCTAATAAGCGAAAGATCACAATAGATTTTGATCAAACTCTTCAACTGGTCAAATATTACTCACTGAATTTAACTGGTCCAATAAACCGATGAATAATAGTGTACCTCCGTAAGTTAAAAACTCCATGTCTCACTATTATCGCACTGCAAGCGACGAGCTAATCCTTGAATGAACAAGGATCTACTCTTTACATATCCTTCAACGGTGAGACGAGATAAACTCGAGATCGATGTACGCCCGCAACCTGACTCAACACTTCAAGTCGTTGTCACACACACATCCGCTGACTCATCCGATGCTCCAAATGACACACGCGCATTCTCCCATGATAAACAAAAAATTCTCTTCTACGACACTGCGCGAGAGTGCGCTCGTCCCCCAATTCCCACGGGCACGAAATGTGTGTGCGTGTGTGCGTTGTGTTGTACGCGTGGTCGTGTAACCGTACGCCCAATCAATCAGCCATTATTTCCTCGCGCCTGACGCGTCTAATTCGATGGTTCAGCTCGGGCAGAAACTAACACACATCGAACGAAACACTCAAGTAGCAGAATAAGAAGGAATAAACATATATATCATTATAAAGGTAAGATAACGACTGAAGGAAGCTACCAATCGGACGGCAAATGTATAACAAAGAGACCAACGCGGATGAACGGTCGTTCGCCTATTGAAACGGCACTTTTGACATTGTGATTAGTTAGGAATATAGACATACCACTGCGGGCTGTATATTCTCGACGCTTCCTTTTTGTTCCTCGCGTCTCATTCTTTCGCCTACATTGTACTGACCCTATTTTTCGTTCCCGAAAAAAAGACATCTGCTCTTTCTCTCGCAGCCGTTATCGAAATTGAGAATAACGTAGCGCGTTACGAAGAATAGGTGTCGAACCCACCACACGCGCGGGCCCGTATGCGAGGAGCGGGACGCGTGTCCCGCATGCGTGAGCAGATACATACCGCGCGCGCGCTCGCACGTGCTCGTTCCGCCAAAAACCCGACGTCGTAAGGGCAAAGTTAGTGGGCCTGAAAACTATGCGCGTGTATACGCGTACGTATATACCGGACCGCGGCGCAGAATGGAATCTATTTTTGGCCCGGTTGCGGCGCGTGCAACCCCCTCGGTCCGCGTGTAAACACGCGACCAGAACGCAACAGGGGCGCGAATAAAGTCCCAGGAAACGGATCCTAAAGAGCGCCCGTAAAATACGACGCCGGACAAATCAAGAACAGATTCGCATCGACGGCAAAAGCTTTAGAATCGGCAGAATTAACGCGACCGACAAATCAAATAGCGACACGTGCGAGAGATTCAACACTTCAATATTCTGGAGCACAGGACCAAAACTTTTCCGCAACGAGCAATGACAGACAAGTTCGGTCGACTGCGATTAGCGCTGCAGACCATCGAAATCGAGTTCGAGTCTCGTATATCTTAAAGACCGGGAATCGTATTGAATGCTGAATGCACTACCAAGAGCAAACCGCCTTCTCTCTTTCTTGGAGGCTGCGCGCGAACGAGAGAAAGGCAGATGTGGTCAAGTTAACGACCCGTTATCGCATGGACAACGACGACGACGACGACGACGACGACGATGACGACGACGATGACGACGACAACGCTGCCGCCGTTGCTGAAACTGGTTGCTGCCGATTGCAGGAAGCGGGGCGCGGATCGAGGGGTTTCGCGCGGCGAGCCCCGTAATGGAGGAGAGGCCCCGGGGCGCGTTGCAACGAGGAGCGGCGGCAAAGCGCGAGGCGAATCGCGTTCGCGCGAGAGGTGCGCTTGACGAGGCCACGATCGAACAAACGAACCGGTCGGACGTATATATGCACGCACGGTGCAGGTGTACCGACGCAGGTCGCGCGCGCGTCTCCCCGCCGTCGCGCCGCGAGCGAATTTTCGCAGGAAAGACGTTCGCGTCGCGGAAGGCGTCGTTGTATTCATTTGCACACAATGCGCACGCGATGTTAATTAACGGAAACATATAATCGGCAATACGAACGACGTCGTATGACGATGACCGGACGCAAATGCAAGCCTTTGCCAGCCGACTATAAGTGGACAAGCATTTTTTTTTCCTTTGCCGTGAAAATGATGATCGTCGAAAGAGAGAGAGAGAGAGAGAGAGAGAGAGAGAGAGAGAGAGAGAATTGAAGGATGAAAACGTGCGGTGCGAAAGATCACCATGCGCATGGAGAAAATGTGAGAACAAGATGCGTTTTGCAAAGTATCGGCATTATCTCCGAGCCTTTCTCTGCTCGAGAGCCGCCGCGCCGTTCCCCTAGCAGCCAACAATCGCTTCCGTGGAAGCCTTGACTGCAGGTAGAGGCCTGTTATACAAAATCGGCACAAAGACGAAAGAGAAAAACGAGAGGAAAGGGACGAGCGGATCGCATGGTGCGCTGTCGAGAACACCAAGAATAACATCCTTGCATTTTTTTTCCCTTCTCTGATTTTTTCTCTCTTTTTTTAATTCTATTAATTGTAAAAAAAAACTGACGAGTAAGCACAAGGATTTCTCAGGTATGAAATGTACCAGTTTGTCTGATCAGCTGATCATTCGGTCGTAAAATATTAAATGTGAAAATTTCTCCTCCTGACACACAAAATAAATTAGTTAGCTTAAGAGATCGATTAACAGTTCGAGATTAATTATTGCTATAACACTTAATTATTAATAAAATAATTAGAGATTCGTTCTAGACGATTTCAAAAAAATTTTCTCTGCCCCCGTAGATATATGGAAAAGATTACTCGTTTCCCTCCCCCCCCCTCTGACGATTCGAAATGTCGGTGGCGCGACAAAGAATACCGGCGGCGTAGCGGTATGCGCGATTGCGCGATCCCAAGCGCGGAAAAGGTCGGCTGGAAATCGCGCGTACGTACGTACCGTACGTACCGTATGCACGGTTCGATCGTTCGGGGGTTAAGAAGTGTGCGACCACCAAGCAGATGGTGGGGCACGGAATCAAGATGGCGTAACGACCGGTCGAGGGATCGTTCGTTCGTACTCGGTGACTATGCGAATCCCGGTGAGTGTGTTGCCGGCTCGACTCCCCGACCCGACCCCGACTTCCTCGCAGCAGCTCGCAGGGCGCAAGGGCTCGTCCTCTCGGGAAGGACGAGTGGGACGCCGACGTCCTCGAGGTTCCCCTCGGCGACGCGGCTGGCGCCGTCCGCTATATCGATTGCCGTTCCGGCTTGCCCATTTTCAAAATGGCGCGGGGAGGGGACGGTCGAAATCCGGATGCCCCGGAAACGGCGGGCCAAGTTCCCGGCTGGGACGGCTTCGCCACGGCGTTTTCCTGGAGCACGCGAAGATCGACCGTTCCTCTAGACGAGAAAAATCGTCGAGACATAAAAGACGACGACGACAACGACGACGATCACGGTGATATCGGACGTACGCAATACGTACGCACGCACGCACGCGCGCGTGCTCACGAAAAAGCTTTCCTGGACGCGCAACAGTTACTTCTCGAGGCACCGCCATAAAAAATAGCTAGCTTCCTTTTGTTCACCGAAAAAAAAAAAGAAACTCGACGATCGATCGGAGTCGTATGGAGATGAGGCGGGATGCCGGAACGATCGTGTCGCACCACGCCGGTGTACCTACCTCTCGAATGTCGGCAGTAAAAGCGCCGCGGTCTCAGAAATAATTTTCCCTTGCTGCGACGTTATGTATAAATATATACACGTTGCCGGCGAACGCACACTTCGTGATGCACCTTGTAATCCTTTCTCGACGAAATCGGAGTTTCACCGGGACGCACGTCCGGCGGCACAATGTAACGGCGTCTCTCACAGGTTCACGGGTGTACCGATACAACGGACGGGATGGGACGTTCGTGTTTTATCACGAGTACAACATGCGTAGGAAGAAAGACTCCTCTCCTCTCTCGCTCTCTCACCCTCTCTCTTTCACACTCGTACGGCGTGACGATGGAGAACCTTTTTTTTTCAGCGGGAGCACGATCGCGGACACATCCACTTGGCTCGGTAACGCGCGACCAACTGGCGGTGAACGCGAAGCGGAGCGGAGGGGAAGCCGCGTCCGTCTGTCGGTCCGTCTGTCCGTCTTTCTGTCACCAACGCGTTGCTCGCTCGCACCAACGAGCTGGTTCCCTCTCCCTCACTACTTCTCTCTCTCTCTCTCTCTCTCTCTCGTTTGTCCGTCCTTTCAGGATCTTTCTATCCCTCTCTCCTTCTCTCTCTTTTTCTCTTTCTATCACTTCGTTTCTGTCTCGCTCACCGTCCCTCTATCTCCTTTCCACTCTCTTTTTCGTTCTTTCTTCCCTCCCTTTCCTCCACCTTGCTCCTGGTCTTCTTCTTTCTCTCTATCTCTTTCGTTCTGTCTTCGCACGCACACCCTGTACACCGTTCTTTCTCTCTTTCTGTCTATCGACAGCCTCGTCCCTCTCTCGTAAATCGCAGGTACGTCGATGCTCCGAATAGAGGATCGTGAAAGGGCGCACCAGGAAAACGTGAACGGCGGTGGCCGTGTGTTTCTTCTGTCTCGCCGGAACGTCCTCGTCGAAGGATGTGGCCGGAGCGCGTGGCGACGACGTGCATACGCGGGACGAATCACAGGGCGAATCACGGGACTACGCGGCGGTGGCTGGGCTCTACGGTCGGGTTAATGATCGATCGGCTCCTCTCTCGGCGGCGCGCCGGGTAGCAGCAGCAGCAGCAGCAGCAGCAGCAGCAGTAGCAGCAGCGAGAGATATCTCGCCGTCGCCGCAAGAGACGCTCCTTTGTTCTGCTTAGCCTGCTGTTCGGTCTGCACGTCCTACACGCCCGCGACGCTCCCCTGTCCGCTCCTCCGTCTCGGAAAGCGCCCGAACGCCGACACGTATCGCGCGAGAGAGACCGATATGCCGCGAAATTCGCCTTATGCAACACGCCGCGATGGGCGCAGCAGCTCCGGCCTGCTCCGCGCTTTTCGTCTCCGTTTTTCGTTCGCGCCGGTCCTCGCGCTAAAATGCCGGGCCACCGATCCGCACCTCTCGACCGTCAGAGAAAGAATGAGTACCGTGAAACGGAGGGGTGGCAGGGATGTAACGGGCGAGCCCCGGCACCCCCGGGATCTCGTTCGCGGGCATGGTGGCAGCCCTGCCGACGACTCCAGCTCTAACCAGGAGCGAGAAGAGTGCGGGGTACGGAGGCGGTCGACGTTGGGCGGGGCCCTGTGTGTTACGAAGGGTTACTTTTACCTAGAGACACATCCGAATCTCTCGTTTCGTATGTCGAAGAAAGTAGCGATCTTCTCAGGATCGTGTCTTCAAATTCAGAGTCCGGAACTCCAATTCGACTCCGTTCGTCATGTCAAACTTAGCGAATTTCGTGGATACCGTAAAGACTTAGCAGAATATAGCTTTCTCCCAAGTAATCTCGTGCGAGGATGTTAGGATATGTTACACGTTACATGGTCGCGCACGATACGAGAAAATAAATTTTCCACAACGCAGCCCGTTTCCACATTTATACCTGAACGACTAGTTAAGAGAGCATGTCCATGAAATACTATTTTTATAAGACGTAAAAGCGAAAAGGAGGATACATTTAATATCGTTTAGGCACACGATAATGTTTACCGTGTGACAATATGCCAACAATATAGCTCGTTCACCTATATTAAATCTAATTCGTGGGCACCTAAAGTGCCAGGATGGAATCCTTTGATGAGCATTTTATGTCTTACGCGAAGCGAGGAGGATTAAATCACGTTCCTCTGCAAATCGAAGAAGTTCCCTCCTTCCTCGGATTGTTCGACTCCGAAACTGGTTTCCACGCCGCCTCGGCTAAATTTCAGTTAAGGATCGCGGATAACGATCCCCTGATTATAAGCTCGCGTTATCCCCGGTAACGGCGCAAATAGCCGGCAATCTCCCCCACGGTGATTTTTTTTTATCGTCCCGTATAACTCCAGCACAATCGCCGCTCGGAATCGCGTCTTAAGCTATCGCGAAATTTTCGTGGAAAACTTTTTATTATACGAAAGGGCGCCGCGCTCTAGATGCTCCAAGCGCGGTGTGTCATCCCGAGGAATTAGAAATTTAAATCTTTCAATCCGTTTCCTTTATTTTTCGGTAGGATTTCGCTCACGCCGCCGCAACGCGCAGCGCATTCAGGGAATTTCAAAAGAATTGATCAATGAGATCAATCGTCAAGCTAGATCGGTACAATGAATTTCCTATATTTCCTTTGATATAGTTCAACGAATCGACTAAAGACGATTAAAATGACGATTATCGCCGGTCGCTCGCGTAATCTCCCCGATTGCAGTGCACTACCTGGAAATCGGTAGTCGTCTGACTATGACGGTGGTGGCCGCTCGAGCGAAACAAAACACGCGTTATATACCTGCAGTCAGCTCCGGCTGTATTACGAATCGGCTTTCGCCTTTGGCAACGGGAAACCAGTGACTAACCAGTGAAAAACGACGAGCGAGAAATGTTTGAGATGATAAAATGTGGGTTATAATATAAGATAGTGAATGGAATTCGGGATATGATAAACGCCAATACGGCGAAATAAGCACAAGACGAAATAGAATGCTAATCCACTTTCGAATTTCCTGGCCGGGGTTATCTTTTACTCGCGATAAAGAGAGATAAATTTGGAATTCGGAAAACGCTGTAGTGAATGAAATCACGCAATCTAATCATAAAACAGTAGATAAGGAAGTCCATTGAGGAACATCGCTCGGTCATTTTTTTCAGACGTGTGTCAAGGATGAACCAAACGAAAGAAATTTATCAAAGATCCCAAAAGAAATTTATCGTTCAATGTCACACATTCTTCTCTTTCGTCGATAATCTTAATCATAAAAGGTCCGGGATTCCTAAGAATGTTATTCGATCGGCTCTCGTTGTCATTTTTTATGCGAGAGGAATTAATCCTCCGGAATCGCCTTCTCTCTCTTTATCTCGGCGCGTCGCTGTATTACGAGTAATGCAAGCGAGCTGATTCTTGCTGCCACGCCCATGGAGCGATCGTTTCGGCTCGTAGAAAGAGAGAGACCTACCTACGCGACGACGCTTAATGCAGAATACTTCCGTCATTTCGATCGGCTGCGAGACAAAGAAGCGATAAAGCCGTACGCGCGATTTCGTCTCCGATCCGTCGTTTATCTCCGGTCTACAATGACGCGACGTTTAAAGAGCCGCCGGGCCTAAAGAGCACCTCCTCACGATGCAAACCTTTCGCTACGAACCCGATCTGTCTGATCTGTCACGATCTCGTGCGCTAATGGCCGGCTATGCTAATCCGAGCCCTACGTAGCAACGACTCTCTCTCTCTCTTTCTCCCCCCCTCTCTCTCTCTCTCACACTTATGTAATTAGACGAGGGAGATAATTTCTGATTCGCGCACTCCGCACAACGGGCTACTAATTAAATGCAATTATCCGTTGGCAAACAAGTTTGATCCCCCCCGCGATTTGCCGTTCACAAAGCGAAACGTTTATTAACTCTTCTCGCCGGCCTCGGTCTGTAAGAGACTCTTGAATTTTGTTTCGAGGTTAAACGGCGTAATTGAAACTAAGATCGGATCAAGGGGGTCAGCAATTTTGTAATATCAAAAATTAATTAAAATTAATATTGTAAAATCATTAGAAAGCGATTTCTTATGTTTTATACGTTACGTTACATTTGAAATTTATATAATTTAATTGTTTATTATGTAGAAGCATCACGCACACACGTTCGTGAGCGATTTATAAGTGATTAAAAATAAAATAAATGTCACAATTAAATAATAAAATTAAATAAAGTTAAATAATAAATCTATATGCCTTATTTATTTCTAGATGCGTTTTGTTTCAATTCCACGAGTAATACAACCAAGAGATTTAATGTGCAAGACGTTAAAAGCTATAATCTCTCTCGGTATATTCATAAAAATTTTTGTCTCAGTTCTGAGTAAGGGAAACTAGCCTTTAATACAGGGCTAATTACGAATCACCATACATAGTTACGATCGTTACGCACTGTCACGAGCAAGTCATCGCTAGAGCATCCGCGCGATTTGTCGGGCACCTGTCGCTCGGATGAAGGATATCAATATTTACCAGCGCCGCGGCTTCGCCGCCGGTATGCAAAACTGCTTACGCATCGTTTAAGTGTAAGACGTCGTATGGTAATCCGACTGGAATGTGTAAGCTCTAATCGTCGTCTCGATTCACGACAATCAATCCCGCGGCGCACTCGGCGGCTGGGATCCACTTTCGTGGTTCGTCACCGGAAATCGGCTATCAGGGAGACGGCAGCAGAGGAAGATCACTCCTTCTCGGTACCGTATCGTCTATATATACATACACATGTGTGTATATAAGCGCGTGTTGCGCGTCGGCTAAGATGCACCGGCGCATTCCATGCCGAGGACACTCTCGCGCGCGAGTGAAACAATAACCGGATAGTGATTTCCCACGAAGGAAAACCTACTCGTAACACCTGCGCAGAATCCTGACCTCCCACAACTAATATTACTAACGACGAAAAAACAAAAGAGAGAAATGCTGAATGTAAACTGCGAGGGAGTTCGCGCTTGAATTACGAATGCCTGAACAATCCAACAAACAAACTTTTCTAATTACGTTACGGAAATGATTAAACGGACAGGAGATACAGCTCCTGAAGTTGCTGAAATCATGAAAGACACGAAAATATCGCGAGGTTTACAATATTTCATTACACGTAATAAGTTCCATTGTGTGAACGGAACGCCTTCTCGACTTAGTTTTTAAAGACTTTGTTATGAAACTGTCAATTCTCTTCTACGTTTAAATCGCGTAATTACATTTCAGTTCCCGTCGCGCACAAAACGATTTTTCATTCGACGGCAGTACAAACAATTACACGAGCAGCATCAGGATTATTCCAAAACGGGGAAAGTTAGGAGAGTTCAAACCAAAATGAACTTTGGTCAAACTTTTCGAGTTAGCAAAACGTTTCCCCGGGCGTCCGGAATCACAATGGCGTTCGCCCGTCCCCCGCGGATTAAAGATTCGACGGCGAAGCCCGTGCCGAATCGTAAAACTGACAGGCATTCTCTCTCCGCGAGCGTGATGAAGAAACGAGGCCGTAAATTCCGGGTAGTGCGCGATACGGATTACTCACTTGGGATGACGACGAAACGATGAGCGACGACGA